CGGTAAACTATTAAATATTCAGCAATTTTTTAACATTTCCATCACTAAAATATTTTTTCTCAATCCTTGCGTTAATTTTTGTAATTATTTCTCTTTTATAATACTGAAAAGGTCAAATATTTAAACTCGCTTTGAGCTCACCTGAACCGGAAGAATTTCAATTCCCAGCTAGCCGGTTGGACGCCCAGCTTTGACCAGCCGATGAAGGGGGCATTGCTCTCGATTTATTTGAAAGTTACGTCAGGAGGTTTTGTTGACGTCTTTACCGAACCGCGGGCCGTAGTATCTATTGATACAGCCTACAGAGGAGGGATGGCCTAAATTTAGTCAAGTGTATGTACTTCTTTCCAGATAGCGTTCTGTTGCCAACGTCAACAATTGACCATCTCCCTCTAGTCAACATACTGCCCTGGCGACTGCCGATGACCTGTGTCCCGATATATCAACAATGTACGGTGTCATAAAGATCTAATGGAGTGTGGTTTGTGATTAGCCAGGTAAGAGGAGTGAGGTTCGAATCGGTCTAAAACAAGTTTTGAGGTCGCACTTGATTCAGGCGTTTTTATAGTTTATAATTTCTTTTTTATTTAGTTCTGTCGTCCTTGTCTCAGATTTCAAAGGACTTTTAGTTCTTAACGATTAATCATAGACAATTTTAAATCGATGTAAGTTAGTACCAAATATCTACTAGGCCATTGCGGGCTCCACGGAAATGATGAAGCTGACAAACTGGCCAGAATAGGTTCTGGAATGATCCAACCCGATATTCCTCTGGCCATAGATTCAACAAAAAGAATCATAAAGCAGACCCTCCAAAGTTCACTGAAAGAGAAATATGTACAAACAATTGAAGGGAAACGATGGAGTGGGTTGCTGGAAGAAAGTGGCAGGATTCCTAGAGACCTCCCTAGAGGGCAAGCCGTGGCATGCTTTAGAATGCTGACAGGCCCCGATTTCCTTCAGAAGCAGCTCCACCGCATCGGTGTAAAAGATAGCCCGACATGCCCTCTATGTTCCTTAGACATGATGACAGGAGAACATCTGGATACATGCCCTGCATTACAGGACATAAGATGTTGCTTTAATGAAATGGACAGATTTTATGCTCGAAAAGCAAAATTGTATTGGACTGCAAGAGCACGTATGGCTAACGAAGCAGGCGTAGGAAAAAAACAAAAAAAACAAAAAAACAAATATCTACCTATAAAGTAAATAGGAAGAACCAAATATAGTTCTGCAATAAATATTGTTACAAAAGTTGGCTCTATGAGGTTATTTTCTTCATATGTCAGGATAATCATCCTAATTAGTTTGTATTTTTCTTTCACTCAGTTTACATGGAATGAGGTTATGATGAACACCTAATAACTGTCTGTGATCGCCTTACACAAAGTTGGAAAATGTTGGTCTGAGATTTTCAACGCTTTTGTTCGTGTACCTCACTATAAACAAATATAATGAGACCCTATCTGTATGTGACAGACCTAGACCGAGCCGTCCGCGAACTGTGAGAACGGAAAATGCAGTGAAAGCAGTGGCTGTTCGAATCAGATGAAATTCTATTAGAAAACAACAAATCATGTCTCAGGAAATGGGAATCTCTGTAAGATCAATGTCTTGCATAATAAAAAGTTACCTTAGGATAGGTGCATTTCGAAGAATGACAGGACAAAGGCTAACCACTTCCCTAAAAAAATTAGAGTGGATAGATGCAAAGTACTCCTTGGCCGTTACCAATGGTGTTCATCGAGAGATTTCGTTTAGCGATGAGAAAATTCCAATAATTGAAGAAAAATGTAATCGCCTTAATGATCGTGTGTATGCACACAGCTCTAAAGAAGCCCAGGAAGTTATTGGAAGGCTGGAAAAAGTTTTTCGCTTTGATAAAGCTCCATTTTTGTGAAAATGGAGTTATAAAACAGCCGCTAAAATCTATCAGGACGATATTTAGGAACCTGATGTCAAGCCTCTAAACGATACTCTGTTTGCTGGAAGATATTGGATTTTCCAGCAGAATTCCGCTCCAGATCACTAAGTCAGGTCAAATCAGCAGTGGCTGCAAAAGAACATTCCAGAGTTCATCTCTGCCTCGGATTGGGCCCTCTGGAAGCCCTGATCTCAACCCACTTGATTATCGGCTTTGGTCCGAACTGGAGAACATGGCATGCCACAGAGCACACCTTAACTTGGAAACCCTCAAACAATCTCTGGTTCGAGCAGTTGAGCGTTTCCTGTGTCAATGCAAAATGGGGACATTTTGAGTAATTTCTTTTTTGTTTTACTCTCTATAGATATAAATTTTATTTTCTAATAAAGTTTATGAAAAAATTAATTTTGCGTTAGAATATATATATATATATATATATATATATATATATATATATATATTTCCGTGTAACAATATTTATGACAGACTAGGTATGTATCTGTCTATTGAAATAAAAATAAAATTATCTAAAAATTAAAAGATGTGAAAGCTGTCTTGAGTCATTGTTGTACTTTACAGCATATCGGTAAAAGCCTGTTAATACAAATTTATATATTTATATATATATATTTATATATATATATATATATATATTCTACATATAAGTGATCTTGGTTTTTCTGCCTCGCTGGTGCCTGGACTGGCTCGACTTTGGCAAGTTGTCTATTCGTCTGTGTGCTAGAGACGTTCCAGAGACTGAATTTTTTTAATTATACCATAAAATAAGGACATTACCTATTGAGTTGTTGAATTTTAAAGCAAAAAGAAATGATGATAGAAAGTAAACTAAATTTAATTATTTAAAGGAAATAGAAAAATAACACCATTGAGGTTACATCTTACTTAATACATTTCTTGCTGAATAGTCTGTTGAACTTTGGAATGGAAACTCATATCGTATGCAACGATACATCGCTGTAATAATTGTAAACAAAATTACATAAGATTCTTTTTCTATAAAATTATTTTTTAAATGTTTTATATTCCTCATATGAAGTTCTATTTCTATGCGATTCTGGAAGGAGATTCCCCCCTTACATTTTGATTTTGTTAGCGTTTCAAAAATAGTTTATCCTATTTCTAGATAAAGAGGCTATAATGGAAGGCTATATAACGAAAGAAGTAGGCAGTAGGCTTAGGGAGAAGTATTTGGGTGAACTCTTTGACATTTACTGTCCTGTCTCTGCCCCTGCCGTGCTGTCATACTGTCATACACTTGCTGATTTACGAAGGCTGCCGCCTTTTTTTCACCAGCTATAAAACTTGGCAATTTTATCGATTTTTGTCGTACATGTTGATTTATTTATTATTTTATATTCGCAATAATTTATTCTACTTTGTAAGTCTCCGCTAGGAAATTTAAAATTAAAACAACACTAAAAGTAGCAGAAGTTGACAGTGCACCAATGCCGCTGGCCTGGTCATCCTACAGAAATTTGAATAATAATATTTGAGGACCTCCGAGATCTATATTTGTAATATTATTGCCTTCTGTATAACCCTCTTGGATATTGGTCAATTCTCCTTTAGTCTTGGAGGGAAAAATAATTTAAATAACAGGCGTTAAATCAGAAAGGCTTCTCAGAGTTGAGCTGATGTCCTACCTAGGAACAGCCACCTAACAAAACAAGGTTGAGGCCACTAAGCTGCAGTTGGTCTCCTCTCCTTTTAATTACTGTAAGAATTATTCTTGAATATCTGTTTTATCCCTTCTTAGAGTTTTTTTAGATTACGTTTCATCTGTTTTGAACTTGTTTTTTGGAAGAAATTAAAAATTTAATGTGAGAAGGAGTTGATCAGGGGGTGCGGTCAAATGAATACTAAATTAAATAAGTAGAATTATTTAATTTTGCCGACGTTTCCACCCACTTTGTAGGTCTTCATCAGGGTGTAGGATGTAGCACTGCGGGAGGCAGTTAAAACACTCAGTCTCTTTCCTATTATTATTTTTTTACTCTAAGAAGCTCTAAAAAAAAAAATAATTATAATGGTTTGTAAATAAAAAAAGTATAGAAAACTTGGATATTTTGAGAGAAATTTAATTTGATGCGGGGTAATGTCGCGCGAAAAACTCGTGTGAGTTGGGTATCCTCTCCGCCTGACTGAATTGTAACCTTTATGGTCTGTATATTTTGAATTCGGGAACCAACCTTCATCAATTCACCATACAGTGAGTTTGGAGTTTGAACTAATTTATTGCGAAGATTAAAAGAAGAATAAACCGCATGATCTTGATATCCTGATAGATGGCCTGTATTGAGTATTGAATGCAGTCTGATTGATTAGGGAATTGAGAAATATAAAAAATATTGTTAAATTTAACTTCCTTTTATATCGATTACACCCTACTTCGTCAATTCTGGTAGGGGGGTGTTTGTTTTCGAAGTTCAACTCTGCGTTATTCAACGAGAGCACACTAGGAAATGAGGTTGCCATAACCGAGCATGTTTATCCATAAAGCATAAACATTCTCGAATTTAGCGACGATGTTCAATGAAATTGATTTCGTGGGTTATTCTTGGAATGAATATAGGCCTTTCCAGGTTGGTTAGAATATGTTTGGTTGTACCTCTATTAATAAAACGCCATAAATAGCTAGTTAGGAAGTAAACGAAGAAAAAAAAAAAAAGTCTAGGCCGAATTCGAATTAGCGGGTCCATAAACTCTCTGAGATGTTGAAGCGTGCATCGCTCTAACTCACTCCTCCCCCTCTCTCACAACGAGACGACGGCTCATCCAAGAATCGCCCCTCGGACCTCAGTTCTTCTTGCGACGCCCGACCGCTCAGTGTTCGCCAGCGTTCCTAGCAGAGGAGTACAAGTCCAATCCTGTCATCGCGAAGTATGTTCGGGCTGCCAGCATTGAATTTCTCATATCTTGTTGCATTCGAAGTTGGATCGTCGGCATCGCTCGTAGACTGAAGAGGACTAAGAGTGATAAGAAGGCAGTGATAAGAGAGAGAGAGCTAGTACGGAAATAGGACTAGAGGTAGAGGGCGCTGGGGAGGCGGCGGCAGTATTAGTGCGGCAGTGCTAGCCTGTGCGGTCATGTCTCCGCAATGAGGGCGACATGCCCGTCTCTGCCCTACCACCCGACCAGGCCTCCTCGCCCCCCTGTCTACACTGTCAAGGTAATATAATATAATACAATAATATAATAATAATATAATAATATAATAATATATATAGTGTATAGTGTATAGTGTAAGGTAGGAGGCTTCAACCTGCACTAGGCAGAGAAGATATTGCAATTTATATCATCTATTCCAAGCATTTATAGCTAAAAATATATATCTTACATTTATATTTTTATGTATGTTTAAATATACAACAACTATTCTGTTGAAATGACAAGATAATTTAATTTGATAGGCTTACAGTAACATTAATTTGGGCATTGCTAAAATAATAACAATGGTGATTTGTATTTGTCTTGTATGGGGAGAGGTTTCTGAGGCGCCACTTTGTATACAACTACACCTGCTCTCTCGCATTCCTCCCAATATGTCTACCACCTATCTACTATATATATATATATATATATATATATATATATATATATATATATATATCAGTTGATCATTTACATTATCTATCCTTCCATCATTGTTATATAAAGTAATAAGTATAACTAAATAGATGTCATATCGAAGTATAATGACAGAGTGTATATATCAATAATTGTATTTCAAACATCTGTTTTCCTTAAATCTAGCTTTGACTATGACTGTCTTGCTTCCTAATGTATTCGACTTTTAAGCGTCATCAGAAAACCATGTTTATTACTTTATACAACATAGTATAATCAAGTTAGCCTCTTCAACAAACACGATTAGTAAAGTTGTATACTTAATCAGGACTGTTATAGTAACAATATACTTCATAACTGATGAGTGATAACCATATCACACTACAGTTTAATAGATAAGACATAAGACACACCTATCTCTCAATATATACTGATGCATCAATTTATTCTCTCGAGGTATATATTTTTTTTATGTAAAGCAACATTCGGTTCTTTGACAGTCTAGAAGTCAACTATTGAGAGTTTAGAAATCATATCAAAAAGTTTCTTTCTACATTATCCTAAGTGCCCAACAGATCATATAGCCTATACTTCTCCATTTATCTTTCCAATGGATTTTTCAATTTGCCGAAGCTTGTCCTATACCAAATAGCAATATTTTAATTATTTAAACTTAATATGTGATAAGAATCCCTTGTTAACCATTAGTACCTAAGATAAAAGTTCTAATTTATTTCAATTAACTTTTTTAAAATGTATTCAGACATATTTTTCAGTTTTAAACGTAGTTTCTGAAGAAACTTCACAAGGTCTTGAGTACGACGTCGAAATCATCAAGCAAAATTACCCCACCTCGAAACCTCCTAATATTTTAAATTATTTTTAGTGTAGTTTTAATCCTATTTTACATTTTGAAATCACTTTATGAAATACCGTTTCGCCTGATAGCTCATTGATCGAAATCCATCGCTCCTGATAACCGGAAAAGGGATCTATACTACTGTATTATATGCAGTGCAGTGCAGCTTCGATAACGTATTGACAATATGATGTCTACATCGTTCCAAAAACAAGCCACTTTTAAATATATCTAGTTAATATTGGCCTTTTTATATAAGGTATTTTATTTTTTAATAGTTTAGGATATTTTCTTATGTTAATATTGTTTTTTTTTTCTATTTTCGAAATAATGCACTATTCACTTGTTCTGTTTGATCATTTTCTAGATCTACGGTTGTAAACACCTCTCCTCCCGCTAAACTGGACTACATTCTTACAATAAACTGCTCCTCTCCTCTCCCCTCTCTCCCGATCCTAGAGAATAATGGAGTCTTTTATCTCTTCTTGACAGCCGTCTTCTGTTCCGTTCTATCTCCATGCCTTGATGTCGTCCGTTGCATGTTGCAGTATAATGGATGCATTAGTGTTGCATTCTTGTAGGGGAGAGCTGTCTGCGGCGCCGCACGCTGGGGAAGTGGGTCGCTGGGGTACGATGACCAGGAAGTCTTGCGGCTGCTCTGTAGCATCTTCCTTATTTATATATTATGACATCGTATGAATTATCGAAGGGAGTTAGTTCTGCACAGGAGATAAATAGTCAGGAACGAATCATTTTAACATTCTTTAATGTTGCCGACGTTTCAAGCTAAACATGTGAGTCATTATCAGGGCATCTTTGCAGTATTAATTGCAGTACACTTCTATGCTAGCGGATCTCCCAGAAGCTTTAACTGGGCATTTGAAGTAAAAAAGTAAACAACAAATTGATGAGAACAAGTAAATGTGTTCTGCCGGTTTTACACGGTTTACATTTAGTTTATATGTATCCTGTTAATACGTTGATGAATCGGTAATGGATCTGAAAATAACCGAAATTTATGAGAAAACTGACTGAAAAAGGGTCTTCATTTTAATGACTTTATACTGACAATTTTTTTTTTTTACTACAGTACGAATGAATGAATGAAAATAATTTTATTATTCTGGGGCTAGTGTCCAGTATGATTTAAACTACGAAAGAAGTCTTACAGTACTTCACCTCAACACCTTATTCTTACTTATAGATCAGACAATATACCATAGCAGTTGTGCGTTGAAGAACGTGTTGTACGTTAATATCAAATAAAATGTACTTATAAATTTTTTTTTTTTTTTGTGTAATCTAATGTGGAAGAGGAACGGCTACAATAATTCCTTGATAAATGTTTCCGCTCAAATATTTCTATCTATATTTTGTTTACAGTGATAAAAAACGATGTACAGCGGAAGTTGTGCGATTGCAATGGCGAACAGTTTTCCACGTTGGACTTTGACTTTGACGTTGGATGTTCCTGAAACTGTTTTATTCAAGCAAATAAACTCTTTAAGTTTTTATTTTCGTGTAGAAGATTTTAAGTTGTACTTACGACTTTAAAAGTATATTTGATTTTTCAAAAACTTTAATTTTGGTTACGTTTAATATAACCAAAAAGATTGCTCTTAATTGTGTTCAAAAATTATAATAGGGCAACGGTCAGCCCTCTTCTTAAAAAATCAATATTCTTTAACTTTACCAAAAATCAAAAGTTATCAGTACTTGATGGGTACCGTTGTTCCCCAAATACTGCGAGTACACTCTTGTCTGCTTTGTTCTTCTTTGACGTTATGTTAATTTTAATTTTATATTTTAGCGTTGCATATATTGTCTACGGACAATATCAACAGAATTTACAAAAAAAAAAAAGATTGGCAATACTTTATTTTAAATTCGGTTTATGGATTGATCATTTCATTTTAACGTATTAAAGATATGGATTCCTGAAGACGAAGCCCAGGAAGCCACGCGAACTGGGATGTTGATGATGAAGGACGAGACCAGTGGTGGAGGGGGGAGAGGAGAGTGTTGTGTAGCGAGGGCCTCTGCTTTCTTGGCCAATTGCCACCGATCGCTTCTTTCTCTATTATCCATTTTTATTTTATTCTTTTACCATTCTGTGAAGATTTTCTCTTTCAATCTATTTCATCATAAATTTGTTTTGAACATTATATTTCCATTTTACACATTACAGCTATTAAGATATTTTTGAGTCTATGATCTTGAAACACAACGCGTATAAAAAAATAAATTAACAATTAACATTGAAATAATTTTTTTAAAATTATATACATGTATTTTAGTTGTTTTAAAATATAAATTAACTATAAATAAATGAAAAATAATACAAACTAAATTTACTTATAAAGATGAGAAATGGTCAGTATATGTACTCAATAAAAAATGTTTTTAATGATTTTATTGAGTATTAATACAGTCTGCCACACTGAAGGGGAATTGGTACTAGAGTTATAGTATTAATCACACAATATGTACATAAGAAAGGAAAATAAATATAAAAAAAAGATAAAGTAATATACCAGATTAATAAAATAACCGATTCAATCCGAATGGTAATAAAATACATTCACACCCATGTACAATATTTACATTGGCCCCAGGGGACTCTGAATCCAGCTTTGTGGAAGCCAAAAGCAGGACTCCAGGAGATCCCATTGCTTCTCTCCCAGGCGCGTCACTGGTATTGGAGGCTGGTGGAGGGCATTAGAGCAATAGACGCTCAGGACTTGAGTAAAGAAACTGGCCAGTGCCAGTACTCCAATATATACATATTTACAAAAGGTTGCGGGGCCACTGCCGTTTTAACCTCCGATGGCGATTGTAGCAATGACTGGAGCTGAATAGAGATTGTGCTCCATGATTAGGATGATGAGTGAGGTTTTGGTGAAATTTGGAAATTTTGTCTGGGATTAGTTTAAGTACAAATGCTATATTAAGGTCATTTTGTAGGGTTAGAAAAAAGGGAGCATCGACTATTGTTCGAAGAACTTTATACTGGAAGGATTGAATGCGTTTGATGTTAGAGAAAGTTTTGTTAGTTCTCCACAGTTCGAGTCCGTAGTTCCAGATAGGTTTCAGAATTGTCTTGTACATACTCAAAAAATTATGTTTATTATTTAAGTTTCAACCCAAGCATGGGCTCATCACAGAGCTAAAAAAAAAGAAAAGAACCAAATTACTTTCGAAAAATGGTAAATATAAAATGATATAGAGATGGTTTTATAATATAATATAATAATGGAGAGGTTAACCGTGGTATAATATCAAAAGGAATTGGTCGGGGGGTGCGGTCAAATAAAATTATTTAGAGTTTGATAAATATAAAATAGAGATAAATATAAACGTATATAAATAATTGAATAAGTGTTCAATTAACTCAAAGAACATAATTATTTGGCTGCACATCCCGGCCAATTTTCATCCCTAAAATTCAACAGTCAACTATATATCTAAATATTTACAATAAATCAGTCACAATAAATACAAAGTTTAATAAGTTTTAACCAAAATATTATATTAAAGATATTAGTATTGATCGTTCATGAGCTGACGGAAGATTAAGAGTGATTAAATAATGCAAACCAATAAATGAATGTATTACGATTTGATATAGTGCTTTACTAATATTTATTATGTTCTAAAAATAAAGGTTAAAGATTATATAAAATTGATTGCATAACTAAATATAAATTTTATTTATTTTGTCAAACAGAAAAACAAGTATTATA